ATTCCCAAGGGATGGAAGTTCATCCCTCCCTCATTAGGAACCCAGCAATTCCCAGGGGATGAATTTCACCCCTCCAGCAGAAGGATCCCCCTGCTCCCGGCAGCCCCATGGGTGCTAAAGGCTCTTTTGGAGGCCACCAGCAATTCCAGCACCTCCCCAGGCAGGGAAATTCCACAGGGATGTCAGGGAGTGAATCCAGACCTTCCTTCCCACAGCAGCACCGTGCCTGGTTTCCATGGGATCTGTATTCCCCAAATTTCCCACCCCACAGCAGGAGGGGTTTGGAGGGATCCCACTTCCAGATGGAGGTGAATCCCCAAAAACTCACACCCCATTCCATTCCTGCCCTAAAAGCAGCATTCCCCCCAAAAAACCTCTCATTCCAACCAGCAACACCTGAGCTGCTGCCTCTGGAGCTTTTCCCAGGCTGGAAATGAGGATAAATCCCAGAACCCCACTAAAATCTCCTGGGAGTGCAGCCTGGCATGGCCCTGATGGGATCCTGATGGGATTTGGGAGCCCCAGGAGCAGACCCTGCATCCCCAACCCTGAATCTGATCCCAAAAAAACCCCATGGATGATGTGAGTGCTTGGAAAAACCTCGGGAGCTCTGAGTGTTGCTTATATTGAGGTTTTAAAGCAGATTTTGGCACCCAGGACCAGCCCTGGATGCAAACACTCCCTGTCCCTGCACCCCCCCCAGCTGGCTCAGGGATTTGGGAATGATTTGGGGGAGGATTCAGCAGAGCAGAGTTAAACAAAGGAAGCAATTGGCTGTGCTCTGCCAGGAGGCTCCGAGGTCACATCCTGCCTCTCACAGGGCTGGGGACGAGCTTAAAACATAAACTGAGCCTTTGTCAGCACCCAGCTCAGCCCCAGGCTGCAGAGATCCCACCGGGAATGGGCACAGGGGAGGGCTGGGATCCTCCCAGGGTTTCCAGGGTGGCTGCTCCCAGCAGCTCTGTGGAGGACAGGATTTCCCCAGGATTTGTCCCAGTGTCCTGGCTGGCACCAGGAGAGGCCAATCCCATGGCCAGGCCAAGCCCAGGGCTGGTTTGGGGCCAGCAGTGGGATTGGGGATTTATTCACCAGCTCTGGGTGCAGCAGGATCCATCCCATCCCATATCCCATCCCATATCCCCAGTCTCACCCCAATTCCCAATCCCATCCCCAAATTCCAGCAGGGAAACAACCCCAATCCCAAATCCAGGGGCAGGAACAGCAGATCCTTGTGATCCAGCAGGGAACAACCCCAATCCCAAATCCAGAAGAAGCAGCAGATCCCTGGGATCCAGCAGAGAAACAAGCCCAAGCCCAATCCCAAATTCAGGAGCAGCAAGCACAACCCTCTGATCCAGCAGGGAAAGAATCCCAATCCCAAATNCAAGGTGGGTTCCTCCCATGGGAATTTGAGGGGCACCCAGAAAAATCCCAGAACGCAGGAACAAAAACACAACAGGGAAAGGTCAGGGTGGGTTTTCCCCATGGGAATTTTGGGAATTTGAGGGGCTCACCTGGCTCTGGAGCTCACTCTGCTGCTTTAGGCGCAGGTTCTCGGGCGTGTCTGCCACCATGGTGAAGGATTGCTTGGGGTAGTGTCTGCAGAGGGAAGCAAGGGGTTAATGCCACTGTCCCCTCCTGCCCAGGTGCTCAGGCACAGCACAGCAATTCCCACCATGGAATTCATGGAATTGTGGAGTCATTCAGGCTGGAAAAGCCCTCCAGGATCATCGAGCCAAACCGTGTCACCCCAAACCTGCGTCCCCAAGGGCCACGCTCAAGGGCTCAGAACATTCCAGGGGTTCTGTCCCATTCCTGAGGAGCCAGAGCTGGTCCCAAAGCTCTGCCTGGAGCAAGAGGAGCATTCCCAGCCTGGCAGGGCCTTCCATGCCCCAGAATTCCCAGGAAATGCCCTGGGAAGAAACCCAACCCAGAGGAGATCTGAATTCCCAAATCACGAATTCCTCCTGGGAATCCCAGAGCATTCCCAGCACTGTGAGGAGAACCAAGAGCCAGCCCAAGCCATTCCTGGGATTCTGGGAGATCCCAGATCACAAATTCTCCCTGGGAATCCCAGAGCATCCCCAGCCCTGTGAGGAGAGCCAGCCCAAGCCATTCCCGGGATTCTGGGAGATCCCAGATCACAAATTCCCCCTGGGAATCCATCCCAGAGCATTCCCAGCACTGTGAGGAGAGCCAGCCCAAGCCATTCCTGGGATTCTGGAAGATCACAGATCATTAATTCCCCCTGGGAATCCCAGAGCATTCCCAGCCCTGTGAGGAGAGCCAGCCCAAACCATTCTTGGGATTCTGGGAGACTCCAAATCAAAAATTCCCCCTGGGAATCCCAGAGCGTTCCCAGCCCTGTGAGGAGACCCAGCTCAAACCATTCCTGGGATTCTGGGAGATCCCAGATGACAAATTCCCCCTGGGAATCCCAGAGCATTCCCAGCCCTGTGAGGAGACCCAGCTCAAATCATTCCTGGGATTCTGGGAGATCCCAGATGACAAATTCCCCCTGGGAATCCATCCCAGAGCATTCCCAGCCCTGTGAAGAGAGCTAGCCCAAACCATTCCTGGGATTCTGGGAGATCCCAGATCATTAATTCTCCCTGGGAATCCCAGAGCATTCCCAGCCCTGTGAGGAGACCCAGCCCAAACCATTCCTGGGATTCTGGGAGATCCCAGATCACAAATTCTCCCTGGGAATCCCACAGCATTCTCAGCCCTGGGAGGAGAGCCAGCCCAAACCATTATTCCTGGGATTCTGGGAGACTCCAAATTAAAAATTCCCCCTGGGAATCCCAGAGCATTCCCAGCCCTGTGAGGAGAGCCAGCCCAAACCATTCCTGGGATTCTGGGAGATCCCAGATCATTAATTCCCCCTGGGAATCCCAGAGCATCCCCAGCCCTGTGAGGAGAACCAAGAGCCAGCCCAAACCATTCCTGGGATTCTGGGAGACTCCAAATCAAAAATTCCCCCTGGGAATCCCAAAGCATTCCCAGCACTGTGAGGAGAGCCAAGAGCCAGCTCAAGCCATTCCTGGGATTCTGGGAGACTCCAAATCAAAAATTCCCCCTGGGAATCCCAGAGCATTCCCAGCACTGAAGGAGAGCCAGCTCAAGCCATTCCTGGGATTCTGGGAGATCCCAGATCACAAATTCCCCCTGGGAATCCATCCCAGAGCATTCCCAGCCCTCTGAGGTGATTCCCAGCACCTCTGCCCAAGGTTTTTACAAACCCTGAGGGTTCTCCCTGTGGCTCAGCAGTGCTTTTATCCAACATTCCCAATGTGAACAAAGGCATGGAGAGGGACACGGCCCAGCCAAGGGCAGAGGCTCCTCTGGAACCAGAGCAGCTCAGCCAGAGCCCGGAGCATTGACAGAATTCACAGAAAAACAAAATTACAGGGTTGGAAAAGACCTTCAAGATCATTGAATCCACCCCAGCTCCAACACCTCAACTCAACCCTGGCCCCCAGAGCCACATCCAGGCTTTGTTAAACACCCCCAGGGATGGTTACTTCAGTCTCAAAATTCACAGAATGACCAGGTTGGAAAAGACCTTCGAGATCATCGAGTCCAACTCAGCTCCAAGACCTCACCCAAACCCTGGCATCCAGAGCCACATCCAGCCTTGTTTAAACACACCTAGGGATGGTTACCCAGTCCCAAAATTCCCAAAATTCACAGAATGACCAGGTTGGAAGAGACCTTCAAGATCATCAAATCCAACTCAGCTCCAAGACCTCAACTCAACCCTGGCACCCAGAGCCACATCCAGGCTTTGTTAAACATGTCTAGAGATGGTGATTCCACCATCTTCCCAGTCCCAAAATTCCCAGAACTCACAGAATGACCAGGTTGGAAAAGACCTTCAAGATCATTGAGTCCAAATCAGCTCCAACACCTCAACTCAACCCTGGCCCCCAGAGCCACATCCAGGCTTTGTTAAACACCCCCAGGGATGGTGACTCCACCACCTCCATTCCAGAACTTTATCACTTTCTGTAAATCACTTTTTCCTGCTATCCAACCCCAATTTCCCTTGGTGCAGCTCGAGGCTGTGTGCTGTGGCTGTGTCAGTTCCTGCAGACAGAGCCCAGCCCCAGCTGAGCACGGGCCCCTTTCAGGAGCTGTGAGAGTGATGGGGGCACCCCTGGGTCTCCTTT